TTCCCGCGATGCTAACCACCTAACACCTTGTAAACTTCGGAATGATTAACTACCTTAACTACGCGCACAATAGGTAGGGTAGATAAGGCCGATCCATGACCCCTACGTTCCAGCCGCCCATCGTTACGATACGATACGCGAACCCGCGGCTAAATTAAACCTACGATGGAGCAATTATAAGCCACGGTCGGAAAGAGTGACCTATGTACTGATGCAGCAATAACCTATTACTCGGTATATTTGCGGCTATCTGGAAGATTTCCACGAAAAGAACGAAATAGATCGAGATGTTGATCTCGGACTCTTTATTGGAGATTTGATTATTTTTTTGTCATAATTCCTTTTGCATATATACCTATAGTATTAAATAGATCATAAAGTGAACTGTGCAAAACGAAACCATTTCGTTATGATTGTTACACCCTTCTATTCAGTGAGCGTATAACGATAAAGTTAAGATATTACCGTAAAGTAGTGATAAGAAATGAAGCAATTGTACGTCGCTATTGTTATAACGTGCTTGAAACATTTCCCTCCAGGTATAATCTTAGAGGCTATAATCTTAAAGCTTTTACGCGATATTAATTTGCAAGCTCGCGAGTGCGCCATCATAAATTTGGACGTAATATTGATCTTTCCATAGAACTTAAAGACGGTTCAATAAATTACATCGTTGCGTTAAAATTATATTGCCGTAAAATTTAAGAATTAAGGAGCATCTGCAAGGAGCATTAAGAAGATCTGCAAGTTTTAGACTTGCACAATATCTATGAAAAATTGATGTACTCATTATGTTCTAACACCGTAGCAGTGTAACACCTCTTTAACGATTTCGCATAGGACAACGAAGAGATCGTTAATGGTATATTATATTAATATAAAATTTACAGATGCAAAACAAATAAACCGAACGATCTCTCGCAAAGGAACATGTAACTTTTCACGTGTCAGAAGAAATTTATAACGGTCGCTATATCGTCGTTACGTAAGCGAAAAATCGACATTTACCAGCCAATTATCTGTATCGCGTAAAATATCGACACTGCATTATAATCTCTAACAATGGCAGGATACGAAGTTTCAAGCCGAAAAATGAATGAAAAAACTGATACTTATCAGAATAAATAAATAACAAAAACGTTTATGTTACAAGCGCGGATAAAATTGGCAAACATCAATATCTTTCGAGTTAGTATCGACGTTTTCAAAATATCGACATTACGTTGCTATTCTTATCCGACTCGGTGAACGCAGCCAACAGTCTAATGTTAGCTCATAAAACGACGCGGCACTTTAAAACACGATAGCTACAATGACAATTGTTGCGCGCAAAAAATCGTTATAGTCGCGGAAAAGTTCAGTTTACGGATATATCAACGTGGCACGGACGTGAATCAGCATCTCATGTTAAGAAGATGGAAATTTTTCATAGCGCTTCATAGTTCTCGTTTGTTCGCGGGAAGAGACTAAAGTTCGTTCTGAACCTGTACTTCGTTGAAGGATGGACCTTCAAAACACCAACCTGCACTTCATAAAAGTACGGACTTTCGAAACATCAACCTCCAATTTCTACACATTTCCACATATAACCGATAAATTCACTCTATGTATTATTTCACATTATAGAAACGTGATATACGGGTACGTTTCAATTTTTGTATGACAAAATCAATTCTCACGAGAAAATCTCGTATTATAGCAATGTATGCGTATCAGTATTAAAATTTAACTGTACAATTAATAAAATAATATTTTGCATAAAAAAGCAGTGTATAATCAATTCATATGAAAACATATACGTTGTGACGTCTTGTGACGCTTTAGTCATCCAGCATCACTATCGATCATCAAAATGATTATGCAACGCGAGTATCGCGGTTTCCCTAAAAATGCGATTTCATGGAGAGATTTTCAAATCTTTTCGGGACGTGTTACAATTCTGATGTATTTGGTATATTAATGAAGTTCTCGTTTTCTTTTATATCTTGTAAGTTGTTATTTTTCATAAAACATGACGTGATACCGAGTATACTCGCGTGGCACAACAATATA